CTCCAAGTGTCTTTCTAACGCTAGGTGTTTGGAATGTCAGTGTTGGTCCCCTCCCAAGCCTCTGTTTTTTTTTTTGTTTTTTTTTTGTTTTTGGTTTTTTTGAGACAGGATTTCTCTGTGTAGCTTTGGAGACTATCCTGGCACTCACTCTATAGACCAGGCTGTCCTCGAACTCACAGAGATCTGCCTGCCTCTACCTCCAGAGTGCTGGGATTAAAGGCGTGTACCACCACCGCCCGGCTGAAGTCTCTGTAATTTTTGCTTGTCCTCAACCTACAATCCTTTCTTGAAACCTGGGAGGAGCTGCCTCAGCAAACATTGGCACAGCTCTTCTCTCCTGTCTACCTCCGGCTGAACACATTCAAGCTCTTTTCCCTGGACCTTTGCTATGTGAAGTGTGAGCCACATGACTCAGACTTATCACACTATCACACTGTGGGAGGAGGGTGCATTACTGTTGCTTGAGTCTAGCCAGAAGGCACAGAGAATGGAGTAACCTTGAACTTCCTTCTGATTGTCCCCAAACTGCCATTCCCAGTACTGGGCTGGGCATCCTACAAAGCTGAGGAGATGGCATGGACCTGCCTTGGTATAGCTTACTGCGTATTCTCCTATTGCCACTGAACCTATCCATGTCACTCCACTGTGGTCAAAAGTTGAGATGAGAGCGGCCCAGTGGCCACAACACCATGAGAATGAAGGTCTATTTCAAGGCCCCATTGGCTCTTTCAAAGTATTTTGCTGGTTGCTAGGACTTTTGATTTCCAAATAACAGCCTGAGCCCATCTGCGTCGGCTCTGTTTTCTGGGGATTGCTGACTCTAGACAGCTGTGTGGGCTTTCTGCCCAATCCAAATGCCTTCCTGCTTTGTGCTCAGTCCTAGAGGAAGCCTTTTGACTCTGGTTCTTGGATAAACCCTATCTGGTCTATAAGCTAGTTTGGGTGGGGTGGGGATCCATGCCAGGGGCTATCAGGGGTTGCTTCTTCCACAATTACTCTGAATGTGGAAGTGTCTTGAACAAGAATCATACGTTCTTTCTGTTGCTTCCTGAAAACTATGTTGCTCGGGTAAAATCTTGGCAGTGTTGGAGATGATGTTGACTCTGTAATGTGTGTGTGTGTGTGTGTGTGTGTGTGTGTGTGTGTGTGTGTGTGTGTGTGTTATGTGCGCTGTGTTCCAGGACCCTCAGATCACCCAGCCCCAGCTGTGACCCAGCTACCGCCCATCTCTAGTCTCTGCTGGTTCCCAACACCCAGAGTGCTGGGCCTCCCCAGGTGGCACCCCCACTGAGCTCCCCTGGGGTTACCAGTTGCTTTTCCAGGTGTGCCGCACATCTGTGTCGTGGATACTGTGTCTGTCTGCCTGTTCATCCAGGAAGTCAAACATGTACTTGATGGCTAAGGGGAGAGCGCTACCCCGGTGCACAGTGCTGAACAAGGTCTCAAACAAGTCGTCCACAAATTTCTGCAGGGTACCCTGTGGGAGTAAGGGGGGGCAGTGAGATGGTGGGTGGGTGGGTGCTAGAGGGCAGCAGAAGGCATGCCAGATGGTGTCTTGGATCCATCCCACCTTGGAAGTCTGTCTGAAATGCAGAAGTGTGCAGACGGAAGGGCCAGAGTGAGGTAGGTACTAGATGGGATGTTGTGGAGTTGGGAGGGGCTGACAAGTCTGGGAATCCACAGGAGGAATCTCTCTTCTCATCTGTGGCAGCATGCCCTGAAGATATGGGCTCAGGGCATTTGATGGGAGGGTAGGAAATGCTCTGAAATAGGATTCCCTAGAATGAGTGAAAGGGCTCAGGGAGTCTGACCCTGGTGAAACCTTGGAGGGTGGGGGAAGGTCTGACAGGAAGGGTGGACAACTTAAAGGTGATCCTGTCAGGAGCATGGGCTTTAGGTCTAGCCTCAAGAGAACCCAGGCACAGCCCTGATACACAGGCTTCATGGATTCCAGAGGCAGTGACAAGCCTGCACCTGGGTCCAGACACACTTTGGGGACTAGTATAACTGCCGACTTTCTCTGATCTCTTTTGGTTATCTCTTATTGATACACTGGGCATATTTAACAAAGCAGAAATGGAGACATGAGTCTGATAGAGTTGTTGTGGACCATTCTGGGAGATAGGCTGAGAGCTTTAAGCAACTGTGTTAGAGTCCCTGTAGCATTGCCATGGGATCACTGGGGATAGCATTTAGAATCCAGCCTGATCTCTAAGGTAAAGCATCCTTGAAGGCTTGGCTTGTTCTCTCCTGGGAAAGCTAAAGTATAAGTATGCTGCATTTATCTCTTCTCAACTTGAGATGCAATGGGTTGGGAGGGGTAGTCTTTCCTTAGATTGCTGGTCCATCTGGGCCCTTCTGTTTTCTCTCTCCCTGGACTAGAAAACAGGTATAAAAGACAGAGATAGAGGAGGTCAGCAAAAGAGTGGGCAGGAGGCACCTGTAGCATGGGTGTTTGTGCCAAAGTGTAGGGAATAACTTGGCCTGGGTAGTGCAGGAGTTACCTTAGTGGCTAGGAGTCGGGTCAAGTAGATCTCAGATACCATTTTGCTGCCCCGGTCACCCTCCTTCTGGTCACCATGGTCATGGTTCTTCACCAGATGCCACACCTTAACACCACTCTCCAGGTCTGGGGTGATCATGGGGACCCGGGACCGGAGGCTGTCTGGGCTGCCTGTGTACCTGAAGGAAGAGTCTGGAAGAAGGTAGAGGAGGCCAGAGTGAGGAGGGTCAAGCCCCTGCTTGAAGCATCCTTCAGGAATCCTACCCAACTGCTGCATCCTCTCAGAATAAACATGCTTCATTTTGAAGGGACTCTTGGTACTACATATTTCATGAATAGTTTTAGGGATCCTTAGTTGGACAAAGGAGCCTACAATCTATTTCTAGAAAGAAGATTTATGAATTTTAAGAGTTCAGACACCCATGAGAATTTGGGAATCCCCCCTCTTCTGCTTCTAGCAATGAACAATAATCAAGTAAACTATACACACACACACACACACACACACACACACACACACACACACACACAGGCGCACACACACGCACTAGAAAGTCTAGATATATAGATTCAAGTTGTAATGATCTTCTTTGTATTTAATGAGCACTTCTTTTGGGGTCCTGGACTATATTTTATGAACCCTTTTTGGAACTACTGTCTTTAGTTCTATAGCTTCTTTCAGGTGGGAAGTCTATTGCTTTTGAGTACATGGAGCCAAAACAGACAAAGTAAGAGAGAATGAATCATAGAAATGAAAGAATGATCAATTTTGTGTACCAAACTAAGACACTTTTGAGAAAAGAGCTACAACTACTAATTCAACCAAGACCACAGCTATAAAGTGAGATAGGTGAACTTACAATCAGAGTACATGCCTATAGTAGGCTACTCCAGCTCCTTACTGGGCATAGATAGAAAAGAAAGGGTTTGTGGTACTATCTGCTACCTCTTCTCAAGGAAGACACATGGCCCTTGAGGCTCCTTCAGAGGGAGACAAATGAACCAGTATCTTTGTGTGAAAGAATGGCAGCAACATGGTCTTCCTGATAAGGACAGGAACAGGTGGTCCCTGAGCATCACAGAAGCCTAGCTCTTGAGTTTCCCAATTGCACTTTGGTTCCTTACCATATCTGCTAATGGATGTCCGGGAGATGCTGGCAGAGGCAGGGATGTTGTAGGAGGAGGTCTGCTTGGGTACCAGAGCCACCACTGACCTGTCTGACACCTAAGAAGAGCATAAAAGGAGAACATGGAAGAATTTAGGTGTCTTGAGAAATTAAGTACTTCTATGGAGTGTGGGGTTAGTAGAAGTTCAGAAATATTACAACAACCATTAATACCTTTTATGTCCCTGGATCACATGACATGTAGTCAATCTCAACTAGGCATCTGAATTGAGACACACACACACACACACACATGCATACACACACACACACAGGATTTCAGAAAGTTAGTATGAATGAACGAATATAAATGAGATCATTAATAAGTCTTATATTGATTATACATTTGGGCTAATTCTTTTAAGCTGAGTTAAATGAAGTATATTGTTAACATTATTTCAACAGTCTGTTTTTTGCTTTTTTAGTGGAGGTAATGAAAAACTTAGAATGGCACGTGTAGCTAGTGTTCTATTTCTATTGGACAGAAGGGTTAGACTTAGACTCCCACAGTCTGCTGTTATGGATGACTATTTCCATTTTACAGATGAAAGAACAGAAGCAGGGGTGGGCTAAGTCACTGCTTCAAGCATTAATATCCTGAGGAGTCGATATTTTTCTCCATACCTGTACATCTCCTGAGCACACATTATACTCGTTATATTCCCAAATTTGGGATTTGATTATAAGTCACATTGCTCTGAGCCCCATCTTTCCTTTGGCTCCAATTTCCTCCTGGCCTGTGTTGTATTATATGTTGGCCACCTTGAATAGTCTCACCAAAAGGACATCTGCCCTTGGGAAACTGGGAGAAAGATGGCACATTGCCCTGTCCTCCGAGAAGATGCCAGGTCTAGCACCCGGCAGTTGAGGGAGGCTAATGAATGAGGAGCCATAGAGAAGACATTTGGGGCCATCTTGATTTAAGATTGCCCTCCATTTAATAAAAACGGAGAATCCCCAGAATCATGGTGATCCAATTAAACCCCTAACGCAGAGGGAATAAAACAGCTATAATAATGTTATGGGCCATAAAACATTCCTATTAAACCATTTTTTATTTTAACAATTTTTATGAACTTTGTAAGTTTGATTTATAGCTTCACCAGCCATAAAACCATCTTTCTGGGTCTTAAATTGTCAGTTCTTCTCTCTCACCAAAAAAGAATTAAATGTTGAGAAGTCAAACTATAAATGAACATTAGTGCTAACGAGATTCCCTGATAGCCAGCTTTACTGGTGGTGTTTAATTTTACCCTCCCTATAAATCTACAGAAACCCAGGCAGTTTCTTACCCCTCTCTTTGTTAATTAAGATGATTTTCTTCTGCACAGGCTCCAAAGACCTTTGACTCCAGGGAAAGGTAGCCAGAGGGCAGAGCATGCCAAGCTCTTGGGTTCTGAGCCCTGTGCAGCCACCATTCTTCCCAGGAGGTGCCACAGCTCTGAATTTTCCAGCTGTCTGTACCATCAGTACCTAATCTATGGTTGAGGAGAGGTAAGTGACATTACCCCTGGCTCTCAAGAATTCTTGCCACCCACATCCAGAAATGCTACTCTGAAAGCCTGGCAAGGGTGGGAGTTTATACTCCCGGCCAGGACAGATGACATTACTTACTGCTTGTTGTCATCAATAGGGGAATTCACAAGGTGACTAATTCCAAGTCAGTAAAGGTACCTTTCTCCTTCTGTCTCTCCATCTCACTCTGTGTGTCTGTCTCTCTTTCTCTCTTACTCTTTGTCTGCCCTCTTCCCCCTCACTCTGTCTCTGTCTCCCCACCCCACCCATGTTTTGTTTTGTTTTGTCTCATTTTGTTTCTCTCTTTCATCCAATAGGTGGTATAAATCCAAGCTCAAAATACCTGGCTGGATCTGATCTCAGCCCTGCCACCACTCACCAGTGAAATGACTTTGCCTCTCTGGGCCTTGGTTGTCTCATTTATCACTGGGGATAATAGTCATGTCTGGTAATAACCGTTGTGATGATTATTAAAGAAATTAAGACACATAAAGGCTGAGTGAAGTACCTGTTGCCCAGTGAGTACTCAGCATGTGTTGGTATTCATGTTGCCATTTTGATTAATAACACCATCTTCATCCTCTCTCAAAGGAAGGAGGACTCCCTGCTGTCCTTGCCACTCAGAACTAGAGTGTGGGAAGGGCCTTGCACTCAGTAAATATTTGAGGAATGAATGAATATATGAACAATAAATGACACGAGGGAATTGGAAGCGTTTTGTAAAAGAAGCACAGTAAGAAAGGGGCATTCTGTTCTTACTGGAAGTCACAAGACGGGTAACCCAGGGACAATCCTTAGGGTATCAGAGATGGATGGAAGCAAAGGCCCTAAGCCTGTCCTTCAGGAACAGAAGATTTGATGGCACAGATTTGGTCTCTTTTGCACTTTCTCAGTCACCTCTAATTGGTTCATCACAGTTGTTCTGAATGTACTTTCCATGCAAAGGTGGTTGTGGATGTGTGTTTACATGTGTGGAATTAACATGGAGTGATTTGATTGCTCCTGCTTTTATATAAGTGCAAATCCTGAGTTTGTACACTTGTTTCTTATTCTCTTGGCTACCTTCATGCCTCTCCTTGTCATAGGTGTTAGCTCCAGTGAACAGATGAAGAGCTTTAGGTTGGGGGAAATTATAGAATCCCACCACTGGAGTGGGTGTTGGGGAAGAATACACCTTCAAAGCCTCAGTTCTTATCTACACATCTTCCCTCACTTGGGGCTGAGATCTGGGTGCAGCATGGAAGATGTCCAAGGAGGAGTACTTTGGGGTGTCCCCTGTGCCCCCAGATTCTTTTGTGCTTTGAGGCATTTGACCAGCTTCAGGGCCTCCCAGTGGCTGGTCAATGGTGGCTCAGCCTAGATGGTCAGCCCCTCTGTAGGCCTCTCTTGGTAAGCCAGGCACATAGGAGGATATTATTAATCAAACAGTCCCATGGGTCTTATAGCCTGAGGTACTTCCTCTGGTCGGCTTAATTTTCCTCAATGTGTCTCATTTCTGGCTCCCATTTTAGTACTTTTCCTGAATGACAATCTGTCTACCTATGCTTTATATTACAAAGACCCCCAAGCTGTGAGTGGCTCCCATGGGATGAAAGCAGGGTGAAGTAGGTGCTTCCCTACTTTTGCTGGAGTATGTATGATTGTTCATTCCATGTCTGCCGGTATTAACACATTCCTTGTCATTTTCTATGCTGAATCTAATCTACACACCTGCTGCGGTACCCCTTACAGGTAAAAAGAAAGAACACTTAAATAATGTTTCCAGATACTGTGGATCTCAGGGCTGAAGACAAGTCTGTGCCCTATCCTGCTACAAGTCAGAGAGCCAACAGCATTAGTAAGAAGCCAGACATTTGCAATAGATTGCCCCTTCTATAGCTGTAGAGATACACAGGAGAGAAATGCCAAGGCAGTTAGATCTGTTCTGAGAGTCCACGTTCTGTAAGCTCCCCCAGTTAATCTAATGGGCAGTCAAAGCTGAGCATCACTGTTCCAGGCGCACAGAAGTAGAAAATGGAGAGAGTAAAGTACCTTGTTGGCTTTGGGGGCCTTCTAACAGAGAGAAAAGAGGGCATTCTTGGGGATGAAGGCCGCAGGGAGGGCCTGCCCTCACCTGGTAATGCATCAGTGTGTTAAGCCGCTTCCAGTCACCCTCTATCTTGGTAGTAATGTCTTCGTCCTGCAACACCACTCTGGCAATCCGGCCTTGGCGCCACTCTGGGTAGAAAGGATGGTATAGGTAGGAGTGAGAAAGGCAGGGGCAGTCAGGGTCACCCTGCCTGTGTGTCCTCTATAGTAACCTTGTCTCTATTGGCTGCTGTCAGTGGTAGAGCTTTGAGACATCTAAAAGGGGGACAGGACAGGGCTGATGTGTAAGAGACTCACACCTGAGTGGGCAAAGCTTAGGAGAAAAGTACTTCCCATGACTTTCAACTGCAGGACTAGTGGGGGCTGTGTGCAAGGCAGAGCTTCATATCCCTTTCCCCTAGTCATCTCATAGTCTGATAGTTCTCTGGGAAGCCATGTTCCTCTCTTGTCCTCCTAATCCAATAACAGGCTTCCTACCCAGGTCCATGTCCACAGCCCTCGGTCGCTGGGAGTAGGGAACGTTCTTATACACAGCATCGAGGATCTTCTCCTTGACTTGAGTGATGGTGTCACAGTTTAACACCTTCACTGGGATCTCTGGGCTGTTCTCGTTGTCAGGGTTGACGCAGTTCAGAATCTGCAAGTAGGGGATCAAGGATGAGTTGGGCTTGCTTAGGAAGAGTATGGGAAGAAGCTGAGGTTGCTCTCCTTATGAGAAGAATGAGGCTGTCTGCCCGCCCTGAGATGTGGTTCCTTCCTCTCATCCCTGCCATCTACTGTGGAGCTGAAGCCTAGATGTTAATCCTTTCTCAAGAAAACGGGAATCTACTTCCTAGACTGGTTGAGGGAAGGTAATCTTGGCGTGAGGCACTTGTTAGGATGCAAGATACATCCATGGGCATCAAGGGCTGTCCTCACATGCCCTCAAAGCTTTTCCACTAGAAGCCAGCACATCTGCTTTCTTTCCTTGCCAATTATGCAGTCCCTAATGGCAAGTGAACTTCTTCTCCCTCAATATCATCTAGGGTAAACTGAGGCACACGCAGATGTTTTGGCTCACCAGTTACGATGAGGGAAAGGTCTGCCTTGCTATTCAAATAGTTGATATGCACTCTGGATTGCCCCAGATTGGTCTCTAAGTCTCTTTTTGGTAGATGACCCAGCGGGCTAGAAGGTAGAGCAGGGACAGTCACAGGTGGTACCGGGGCTGGAACTGGCTTTTGTCTTTCTCACCAGGGTCTTGTACTCGATCTGCTGCCGGATGAGTTTGTCCTCACTCAGGGAGTAGCGGGCCTCACCAGTGATAGCATCGATGGGGCCTTTCTCCATCTGCTGCTTGATTGCACAGTACAGCATGAAAAGGGGCTCCCCGGCGCACTCCTGTGGGCATATCAGGGTAGGGAGTTTACACCCTGCCTAAACCTTCCCAACTGACTGCCTTTGCAGTCAGGGGAGAGAATCCCCGGCCTGTTTTGCTTAAAAGCAGCTACACCAAGGAATCCCTGTTCCTGAGGGACAGGTCCCCATGTTGTTTCTAAGACCAGGGTGTGTGGCTGCCTTTGGCTCTGCTCACTTCCTCCCTCTTACCTTCAGGAACTTGTGTAGAAGGAAAGCAAACCAGTTGGTCAGCATCTTCTCAGCCACAGACTCAGTCCTGGAGAAGGCAGAGGGGGTGGGGGACCGCTCATTACACAGGGGTCTAGCAGTAATCTAGGCTTGTCCTGTGTGTAAGAGGGCACAGGGCTAAGACTGGACCCTGGCAACCCAACCAAACTCCAGCAATAATTGGAAGTGGGACTGGCCAGGAATGAGCTCTTTCCCATACTTAGTGGGAAGTTGCCTGGTGGTGGGGAATCATTGCCCATGATTCGATTTTCAGAGACTCTAGAATGTCAGAACATTTCATCCTTGTGGCTCTGTGGTGACACCTGATGTGGGTTGCAAAGGTTTATCCCACAGGCTGTAAGGACTAGTTCCCTACTCCGTCTGGTCTCACGGCGATGAAGATGAAGAGTCTGTTCCACTGTGGTTTCTGCATATTCAAGTACTCTGGGTACATGCCTGGTACCGGCCTCTCCAAATATTCACAGGTGGCCACATGTTCGAATCTGGACTATATTATTTACTGGCTGTATAACCTTGGGCAAATCATTTGGCATCTCTGGGTTGTTACCCCCCACTATTACATGTACACAGTCATAATATTCACACTTTCAATTGCTAGCCTTGAATGGGTTAACACATTTAAAATGCAAATGATAACATCTGGCTTCACAGTAAAACACTGTGTAGATATGAATGGTTAGTACTGTGGTTCCTATGCTCTCTAGGCCTGCAGGTAGAGAGCAAAGCTTAAGAGTTTAGCCAACAGGGGGGGATCTGTTTCTATAAGCACCACCTCCTTCCCCTCCCCCACCCCAGGCTGCAGGTCTGGGACCTTTGGAAGAAACAAAGCAAAGCACTGTGATGGGGATGCCAAGGGGTATTTTAAATCCCCACACGCAGTGCAAATTATACCCTCCAGCTGAAGTAAACCCCAGGCATTTGCCAGGACTGCTCAGCAGTCAGGGCCGGTAGAGAGTGACAATGGCATGAGAAATTGCAGCTTTCTCCCTGGGTCCTCCCAGCACCCTCTCCCAGCATTGTGTTTGAGATTAGCTCTAATTTCAATACAACAGCTCTTAATGAAAGCTTCCAATGCTCAGACTGGCAGGATGGGGGCTCAATGCTTATAAAACAAAGCCACACCATGTGGGGCCTGAAAACCTAAGACCTGTTAGCAAAGGTACAGGAAAAGCCTGAGTGCAGGTGACAGATTCAACCCCTGCTGCCCAGAGCCCTAGATTTGTGCTTGGCTCCCTAGGATCTCAACTGAGGGACCTTGCAGGAGACAGAGGGTCTCGAAAATCTGTGCCCTGCTAGAAACATAGCAACTAAGGCAGTTGGTATATGCTAGCAATGCCAAGCCTGGAAGCTGGGACCCAAATCTGCACCTAATCTCTAGCCCAGCATGTCTATCAGATCGGAGTATGATGATGGGCACCGGTTTGCCTGTGCTGTCCTATATGGTGGCCACCAAACACAGAGTGTCTGGACACTTGGGAATGTGACCAGTGAGATGGAGAAATTGAAGCATACATTTCATTTTCGTTAATAGTGGCTACCATGCTGGGGCACACAGCTCTAGAAGCAGTGGGAGGGACATAGACTAACAGACAGCTATCACTCTCATCTTGTTTATGAGGAAACCAAACCACAAGAAGGCAGCTCCCCTGGTATGAGGTGACAGAGACAAGCAGGAGGACTAGGGTTCATGCTGGGTCCCAGACAGGGCTATGCACTTGGGTTGGAAGCCACCTGATTTCCCGGGATCAGTGGAAGATCACATTCCATACTGGGCTGGTATGAAGACAGGAGCAGCCCCACA